TCCGCCCCTGCCAAGCAGCTTCTAAATAACAGAGCCAATTGTGTGTACTTAGCTGGAGAGCTCAGTGAACAATGGTAGGCAGGGCTGGAAAGTACAGTAGGCTAAATGTCAGATGCGACATTTAGGCTGAGGCTACCTATTGCTTTTGTTGCTCCCCATCCAGTGCTGGGAGAAAAACAAATGTTTTTTTTTTCCATCCAATCAATGTAAACATACCTTTATTATATTTTTACAATACATAAAACAATAGGAGGTAAGATCTAAGGTAATAGGCAAAATCTAAAAAATTTAGGAATAGCAAGAGCTGACCCAAGATTTATGATTTGGGGAGGGGGGTAACCTCATTGACTGGAGTCCCCCAACAGGTAAAGAAAAGGGGGAGGACTCATTCTACTAAACTTTACTTAAATCTGAAATATCACTTGTGGGTGGACTTACCCTTTAAATATTACAATGAGGCTTTTATACAGCAGGGTCAACTTACTTCAAAACAAAACTAAGCCCCCAACCTCAAGAAAGCACATTTAGTCATGAGGGGGTGGGGGTAGTCCAGTGGTGCTCATTACAGTGTCTCTAATCCATATTTACAGTGTATGTGCATGCCACTTTTATTAGACACATACAACATGTGCATGACTAAACATACATGTTCCTCAGAGTAATCAGCGTTTAGAACATGCACCTGAAAATGCACAGGAATGAAAGAAAAACGTGCAACAACCATTCAGAAATGGACCTTTGTGTATAGGGACACACAAATATAGTGTGTTGAATGTGTTAGTTTTGCTGGGATATACTTGACTACAGCAGCCCTCGTATTTTGATCGGTTGGAATTTATATCTACCTCAAAACCATAGGCCTAGAAAACCTTTGACAGAAGCAGCAAAAACCAGACATCATGCATTTATTTTGAGCCTGGCTTTTTAGATTCCAAACCAATACATCAACAGTGCTTACTCTTCAGGTGAACTTCATTGTTCTAGTATTGATTTTTCAGAAACATTGTACAGGAAAAATTAATAGAAACCAAACTGCCATGTACCAGGAGTGATTGAGTAAGCACTAGTGATGTCACATTAGTTTTGGCCACAGTGAAATCTGAGGATTGTCATCTTGAAATCTAGCTCTATCAAATATTTCTGATGTTCAATGGGAGGCCACTCAGGTTTCTAGGTGCCCCCATGGCTTGGTATCAGTGTGCTATTAAAGGACAACAAACTAGTTTACTGAAGAAATACAGGTTAAGGGGAGAGGGATTGTAACAACTTCTACATAATACTAGTTGTGGTAACCTGAGGTTTCATCAGCAAGTCAGTTCTCCTACCTCTGGAAACATCAGGAACAGGAAACACTATTATAGACAGGGCCCTAAGAGAATTACTCCACCCAGGTGCTCCACCAAGGTGCACACTTGGAGATCCAATTTTCTATGAAATTTCAGTTCTAAATGGAATTATTCCTTAATGGAATCTTCCAGCTTGAAATACCTTGTGCTAACCCACTTCTAATAGAGCTTCAAGGAGTGTGACAATTGAGGACAGTGTGCAGACGCTACAAAAACGGCCACAAGACTGAAGCTATAGTAACAGAAAACATGCAAGACATGAAATATGAACTAATAGGCAACTCTCCAAGATCAACAGGATTTTGGCATCTCTCGATCTAAGCAGTTGTTTCCAAAACATGTATTCACAGTAAGCCCATCATAAGAGAATTACAGGACTCATCACTGTAACCTCTTCCAGAAAATGATAGCTGACTAGCTGTTATGACAACTATTAGCCCTAATACTGGGCTAGAAACAAGTAGGTAGATTACAACAGTCAGAGAAAGGGAGAATTTATTCTCTGCATACTTGTTTCAAGCTCATTATCAAATGGATTGAAGTGAAGAGTGTTAGGATGACAGTCAGTCAACCAATGTATTCAGAAGAGCTCAACAATGCCAGCTCCTATTCTTCTCTAATGTAAAGGCATTTTTGAATAGATTTTTTTAAAATTATGAAGGATCAACAGACTGTGCTGGGCTACAGTACTTTTATGAATGGCATAAAATTTCCTCAGACAATATTCCTGGAACCCTGAAACTATATGAATTAAAAGTGGTAGTAAAGGCTAGCTAGAACGATCCTTTAAAACGTCCCCTTTCTTCTCCTCTTACCTATCCTGCAATAACCTGTAAAAAAAAAAAAAAAAAAAAAAAAAAAAAGATCTGGGTATTTTTTTAATTTCGTCTGGTCATGTGATCCAGCACCCATGTGTAAAGGAGCGTTCGAAGAAAAAAAAAAAAATTATATATACCTAAAACAAATTGATGAGCGAGTGCAACCCAATATAAAATATAAAAAATGAAAATGATGGGGAGCTGCTAGCATATAAAGGCAATCCTAAGCACCTCAGTAGCAAATGGTAAAAACAAATATGCAGCGCTAGATATAGATACAAAGAAAACCATGAATAGTGACTGATACAAATGCCAGATAGCGTAATAGTGTCCACAAAGAGGGAAGAGCCGATTATGTGCTTGTGGCTCCAAAACTGACAATGTTACGACAGTCAAACATGCTGGTCGCACGAAACATGTCAGGGGAATCCTTCAATTTGATGCCTTAGAACCTTTATGAGCATGTGAGGAAGGCCTGATGGCCATTTATTTTATATTCATGTGAGTTTATTTTGGATCCTTTACTTTAATAAAGCAATAATACACACTATTGGTACTATTGCCCCCTGGCTCGTTACTTTGCGAGCCTCTCAAGGTGGAGCCCTTTGAAGAGCATCATTAGGAGTCTGGATGACGTTGGACCTGCCGGTGAGTCTGAGGTGACCCCCAAGTGTGAATCACATCATTCCTGAGAGTCTGCCACAACACCGGATGTCGCCATAACCGATGACCAGACCTGGATACCGCTACGGATTTTTATATACATACAACGTTCAGATTGTATGTGCTTCTGGTAAGTGCATTATTGTACTACAACTTCACGCCAACAAGTTTTTATCACGGAACATAAAGTGCAATTCTGCATCACTTGGCCCTTTGACTGTCATAATATTGTCAGTTTTGGAGCAACAAGCACATAATCAGCTCTTACCTCTTTGTGGACACTATTACGCTATTTGGCATTTATATCAGTCACTATTCATGGTTTTCATTGTATCTATATCTAGCGCTGCATATTTGTTTTTACCATTTGCTACTGAGGTGCTGAGGATTGCATTTATATGCTAGCAGCTCCCCGTCATTTTCATTTTTTAAAATTTTATATTGGGTTGCGCTGGCTCATCAATTTGTTTTTAGGTATATAATATAGTATAGAATAGGTATTAGCCTCATGTTCCACTTTAAAGGTTACAGCAGTCACTCTGTGCCCAAAATTTCTATGATGTTTCTAGTTGCTCAGGTATTGACCACCTGAATATCACTACCCTTCATAAAATTACTCTTTCCTTTAATTTGCTGCAAAATGAATAAAGTAGTCTAATTAACCAGCTTTGTTTTTGTTGGGTATCAACTGTTAAAAGGATAAGTTCACCTTACAAAAATAAATAATGCACATCTTTTTGACGGTAAAATAATGTGCATTATTTTTATTATATTAATCGGAGCCTGTAAGGCATTGCACCCGCGATCAGCAGATCCTGGGTGCAGTGCAGGGCTCCTGCACACTAAGTGTAAGCTGTCTGCCTGCACCTTGTAAGGGCAGGCATTTGCAAACTCACAGGAACCATCAATGAACTACCTAGAGCGCTCTGGTAGTTCATTGAGAACTACAAGCAGTTAGCTGCTAAGGCGGTTGGTACTTCTAGTTCTTCAATTCACAGAACTTTGAATGAATGCAGCCAGGTGGGCGGAGCTCCATTGTGACAGCAGACACATGGGAGATGGAGCATGCCTGAAAAAAAGAATCTGGATGATGTCCTGGGGGGTTATTTATAGTGGACAGCAGAAACCACTACCCACTCATCACCATGCTGTTTACTCCATAACATGTCCCATGGAGTTTGCTCTGTGTTGAGCTGTAAAAAAAACAAACAAAAAAAACCTTTGTGATTGAAGGAAAGGCCGGTCACATGACTAACAAATCACATGACCATGTTCTCTATTCCCTGGCCTTTTCTATTCATTCACATAGCATGATGTAGCGAAGTGCTGTGTTTTATGCTATCTGGTTTTTCTTTAGCTTTTTTTTTTTTTTTTTTTTAATAAGTGGTATGGCCGTTTTAAGGTCATATCAATGCTTTATAAATGGAGCCCTTACTGTTACTACGACAGGAAGTGAGAAAACAATGCCCAACAAGAGCACGGACAACAATAAAATCCTGACAATAGTGCTAACACCTCACTCCCCCCCTCCAAAAATAAATAAATAAATAAAAATCGGATGGATGGAAGTCTGCCTTGGTAAGTTACAAATGCATGCCTGGTATGTTATTCTGAATTTTTTAAGAATGTATTAAATATCACTGTTGACTGGAGAGTATACCCTGCCAATATCACTATGACAAAACAAGGCAAACTTTAGCACCCAAGCTTTTGCTGAACATCTTTTCCTATGATGTTCAATTAGCAATGCTCTTCAATAACTTTAGCCAAAATTGGAACCATCTGAAAACTTGACAAAGAATCTGTTGTAATGTCAGATGTTTTAAAAATGATTTAATGTGTGCCCAAGTGTTGCCTTATCTTTAATTTTTATAGCCACACAACATTTTTTCTATCATGAGACAACCTAGTACATGCACAGTTCAATATTTGGCATAATTTAAAGGTGCAAAACTTACTCATATATTAATGAGATATTACAAAATTAAGAGTGTGCCAATAAATTGTAATAGGACTTCTGATATCTGGATATCAATGCAGTTGAACAAAAGTTTGCACCTTTAAAATAAATGAAAATTGCAAAACAGTAGCATGCAACAGACCAGACACAGAAATAACTGTCCTGGTTTTGTAGACACTGCAGTTTTTGCTGACTTAAATCTAAGTTACGTACTTCTGAGTATCGGAGATGCACCACCAAGCCCAAGCCCATCCTCCGTAAACATACTGTTTAGAATCGGAGCCACAGCAGCCACCTAGAACAGAAAGATACAGTCAGGAATGTGCATGGATTACACCAACAAGAAACAGGGACATTGTCAAAATTTCAAAACAAAACAAACTTTGAGCACAAGTAGATCTCAGCACATGGTACTGATTTACTTTTGCAGTTCAAGAAGAACCCAGTAACCCAAGTAAACTTATAACAAATCTAGACAATTAAAACTTACCATGTGATGAAAAATGCCAAAGCAACAGTTACCTTCAATAAATAATATAAAATACTGTAAATACAATTATGGGGAGGAAGGGGCCAGGAGAGTCTGCGGGGACCCGAGAAGAGGAGGATCAGGGCTGCTTTGTGCAAAACCACTGCACACAGCAGGTAAGTATAGACACGTTTGTTATTTTTTCTTTTAAAAAAGCTTTGAAAAATCACTTTAAGCTTGACATCACTTATTACAAAAACCTTTGCCTTTCAAGGGGTGTGCAGAGCAGACGTGCCCCCTTACCATAGGAGACCACTCACACCACTGCAGTCTGTTCGCACAGGACAATTACTGTGCCTTGAATTAGGATGCATAATGCACCAAAAATGTACATGTACCATTTCTGGCAGTACACCTCAACAAGCATTCATCGGCACGGTGCACTGCAGCACTAAACAAAATGAATGGCATTCTGGCTTTATGTCATGGTGATAGCTGTCTCATACTGGACAAGTAGAGCCTTAGCACTCTCCTATGAAGACAGGAAATAGAAACTGCAGAACAATGCCAGAGTAACATCAGCACCAACATTCATTTGCATCCACAATTCTTCTAAACACATTCTGAATTTGTTTATATATGTGTGTACTGGGTTCCCACTAAGCTGACCAGAGAAAATATTCTCTAAGACACCAAATGCAATGCTTTGGATGTATTTAACCACTTGCCTACCAGGCACTTATACCCCCTTCCTTACCAGGCCAATTTTCAGCTTTCAGCGCTGCCGCACTTTGATTGACAATTGCGCGGTTATGCAACATTGTACCCATATGAAATTTTGATCATTTTTTCCTCACAAATAGAGCTTTCTTTTGGTGGTATTTACTCCCCGCTGGGCACTTTACTTTTTGCGCTATAAATAAAAAAGTGCAAAAAATTTGAAAAAAAAAAAAAGTTTCTTTGTTTCTATTATAAAATTTTTCAAACAGGCATTTTTTTCTCCTTCACTGATGTGCGTTGATGAGGCAGCACTGATGGGCACTGATAGGCGGCACTGATGGGCACTGATAGGCAGCACTAAAGGGCACTGATAGGCAGCACTAATGAGGTGTCATGATGATGGGTACTGATAGACGGCACTGACTGGCATCACTGCTAAGCACTGACTGGCAGCACTGACTGGCACAACCCCTGGGCACTGACTGGTGGCACTGACTGGCAGCACTGCTGGGCTGCACTGGTGGGTGGCACTGGTGGGCAGCACTGGTGGGTGGGCACAGGTGGGCACATGTAGGTGGCACTTCTGGGCACAGGTAGGTGGCACTGCAGAGTGGCACAGGTGGGCGGAGCTAGTGGGCGCACTGCTGGGCAGAACTTGCGGGTGTCACTGCTGGGCACCGATCATCAGGGCACTGATCATCAGTGCCCCGATGATCGGTGCCGATCCCCGCTCTGACAACTGCCGGTTCTCGGCAGTACTTTCCTCACGATCTGACAGAGTGAGGAAAGTGCAGCCGAGAACCGGCACTTGCATTTCCCTCTGATCAGCGTGTCATTGGACACCGCTGATCAGGTGGTAAAAGGCCGCTGTGATTGGCCTTTTACCACATCACGTGATCAGCTGTGTCCGTAGGACACAGCGATCACGGAGATCGCCGGGTGCGCGCCCAGGAGAGCGCGTTCTGGGAGGACGTCATATGACGTCCACCCAGAACTGGCCGGCCGCGGTGAAGCCGTCATTCGGCTATGCGCGGTCGGCAAGAGGTTAATCAATCAATTTATCCTAACTCAAACTTTATTTTACTTCACTTGCGTCTTCACATGTTTGTATTCATTTACACAACACATCATCATCTGCTTACATGTAACAAAAAATGGGATTATATTATGTAAGCAATTGTATTTGATAAACTGCTGTGCAAATATTGTGTGACATTGTAAATTGCAACAGCCACCATTTTCTTCTTCAGGGACTCTGGAGAGTCCTGCTGTCACAATACAATATCTGGGTGGGGGTATTGGTGGTGGAAGATAATTCCTCCACCGACCTCTCTTGTGTGGATGAAGGAATCTATTAGCTCCAAAACCGAACTGTTTGTGCCAAGCCTTTGACTCCTATGGGTGCCTGCTGCAGAAGATGATGAAGGGTGGGATTTCTCCAACCTTCTACATGGAGGATAAGCACACACTGGCCACCTGTGGCATAGATAATCAAGGTGTCAAGAAAGGTCTGGAAACAGAATATCCATCAGAAGCCAATTAGGTCAGATGTTCCTTGAATCAGTGTCCCGACTACAAAGCCAAGGTGCTCAGAGCATCTGTATAGAGGCATATGTAGTGAAATGTGAGCACACATTTGTCCATTTTAGTGGTATTCCTGTTAAGATGGATCATTGGTACATCTACAGTGGTAACAGACCACCAATTTACATACTACCTCTCAAAGGTAAACATTTCTGACACTCTCAGGCGGAGCCTAGGACCCTTCAGGGTGTTTCCAGTCTGCATAGAGGAATTACTCAAATAGTAGGTGAAGCAGAAAGGTCTTTGCTGCTGTAAGAGCTCTGGAAGACCCAATGCCTGAATGGCAGGCTAATCCTCCAGATGCAGGGTAATCCAAACTGCATAACACGGTAACAGTGGCCCCAGGCCCAGTTTGATAGAAGAGCTCTGTGGGGTCACAGATAGACTCTGCAGGGGATGGCTCCAGAGCGTGCCAACAGTCACTGCAGGCAAAGTGCCCCAATAGCTGGTAGAAACAGCTAGGAAGTAGACACTCCCTATGGACAAGGGGTGAAGCCTCAGCACACGACAGAGCTAAGGAACACTCTGATAACGATGACTAACAAGGTGTCCCTGGTTCTGGATTACACCAGAAGGCAGGCAGTGGAAGCAGACAGAAGACTGGACATCCACATGGTGCTTCAGGAGAAAAGGCAGCAACAGGATGGTGCTTCCTTCAGTGAACGGCAATAACGAGCAGGTAGTGCTTACCACTACACTAAGCAGATTATGTCCGCAGTTCGTCCCCCTCCGTTAACCCCCACTTTGATAAAACTGGAGGTTGGGGGAAATTTGAACGAGGCTCATCCTGGGGCTGTGCCATGGCTCTGCACCTGGAAAGCGCCCCGCAACTAAACACACACAGTACACTATGGTTTGAAAAGTGCCACAATGCAGAGCCCCCAGTGCATACAGGTCACAACCCAGGCTAGCCCCACACATCCAGTTCAGCAGGGGTTGGGTACATGCTCCAAAGCTGAGAAACGTCCAGTACAGATAGCTTCTATACATAGACAAACTCAAGCAGTGATGTAGCAAGACAACTTTTTTGAAGTCCTCCAGGTAAAAAAAAAAAAAAAAAAAAAAAAAAACTAATTCCTCAAAGCAATAAAGGCTAGAAAAAGACGTTTTGTGTCCAACCTCTTAGTACACTAGCAAAACACTGGAGCATGATGAGTGAGGAGAGGTTATAGGGGGCTGTCTTACAGTTTTTCTGTTTGTCAGTACCCCAACCATCTTCAAGCATCAGCATATCCCAATTATTTCTGAATTCCTAAGTCCCTCAAAATATGATAAAGAAAAAACACCAATAATTTAAAAAAACCAGGGCTGTCCTTTGCCCAGTGCTCATTCTCCTTGTCATTTCAAGGAAAGTAATAGGCCCTCCCAGTCCTCATCTTGCAACTACAGAACGAGTAGCTTTTATGTACTGAAGATAGAAGAGTAGGTGAGCCTGATCAGTTTAACTGGAGCTGAACAGACTGACAACACTTCAGCTAGCCAGAGAAGGACAGAAATTCAACAGGAACCAGCTGAAATTTCGATATATGGTCAGGCTGGAGGACAGTACAACAGCCTGTCAGGTTTTTTTTTCGAAACAATCACCATTGCTGGAAGCAGTGATGATCATTGTATTCCAATAGCCAGGCAACCTTCAGCTGTCAGAATACAAGAGCTCAGTGGGAGGCATTCCGCTATCAACACTGACTGGGTTGACAGGGAAATCTAGCAGTATTCTTTCAGTCAACCCATGGCTGAAGGAATGAAGGAAAGAAAATTGTGTAACATATGGCCATATTACGGTGCTGGGAGGTATGCAAACTTTTTTTTACCTTCCTAGTCCTTGCTATCAGTTTTCATATACAAGCAATTCTTATACATTACTGGAAAAGAGTTTTCTGCCCTCAGTTGCAAAGTTGTAAAATAGTCTGTGCTCACTAGGGGAGAAAAAAAAAAAAGAAAATTAATGACCGGTTACGGTCCTGTTAGGCATTTAAAAACTTCACCATTGGACAATTTTGGCAACTGTATTTTTTAGGCAGTTTCACAGGCATGCACTAGTTTGAAGCTTAAAATATTTAGTATCCATTTACTTGAGACAACCCCATGTTTTATAGCTTAACAGAAATTGGGTATCAGATGTGTTTGTGTACACGTAAAACAAAATTCATAGATTTATTTTTACTGAAACTGTAGCAAGCTGTAGAAAAAAAAAAAATGTAGCCCAAATTTGTTTTGACATTCTACAGTGTCTATGTTTTCAGAAAATATATAATGTTTTGGGTTTTTTAAATGCTTTTCATGCAAAAAAAAAAAAAAAAAAACAAAATGGGTAAAATATGTGTAAGGAAAATATGGCTCTGGCAGCAAAAGATTTAAAGGGATGAAATGTGGGAAAAAACTGCATGTCTTGTTGAAATGTTCTGCATCTTTTATTTTGCACTTTCATACACTTAGTCACATTAGACATTGCACAATTTCCCTACAATGCTGGGAAACGTATGACATGAGCTGGGAATTTCTGAACACAAAACATGACAAGACAATTCTGAAACAAAATCAGAGCACAAAGAAAATTAGAATGCATATAGCTTATACTAGTGTTTCTTAACCTTTTTCAGTCAAGGCACCCTTTAAAATTATGGACAGTAGTCCTGAGGCACCCTTTAAAATTATGGACAGTAGTCCTGGGGCACCCTTTAAAATTATGGACAGTAGTCCTGGGGCACCCTTTAAAATTATGGACAGTAGTCCTGGGGCACCCCTTAAAATTATGGACAGTAGTCCTGGGGCACCCTTTAAAATTATGGACAGTAGTCCTGGGGCACCCCTTAAAATTATGGACAGTAGTCCTGGGGCACCCTTTAAAATTATGGACAGTAGTCCTGGGGCACCCTTTAAAATTATGGACAGTAGTCCTGGGGCACCCTTTAAAATTATGGACAGTAGTCCTGGGGCACCCTTTAAAATTATGGACTGTCTTAAGGCACCCCATTTTAAAATGGGGTGCCTCAAGACTGTCCATAATTTTAAAAGGGCACGCCATTCTAAAATGTGAAAAACTATTCTAATAGTTTTGAATAACACAGCAACATCCACACATGTAGAACACACACAACATTAGAGGTGATTTATTCTTTCAAAGCAAATACTTTTGCACACTGGTACTGAGTGATATTCCAATGTTTCTCTTCTCCCTCCGTTTTTTCTCCATCCCTGAGCTAAAATGACCCCAGTACTGATGAAGAGGGGAAGGGGAGGGTCAAACTATGATGCAGGCAGCTGACATCCTCCTTATCAACTGATGAGGTAATTGGCTGTCAGGATGCTGGTGGCTAGAAGGCTGTAATGGAGCACGATGAAAACCTGTGACTTTTTGTAATTAAATAGCAGGCTTATTCCACCCGCTGGCTTGTATATAAGTTTTGGGCAATTTTTAGAAATTTTGCCAAGACACACCCCTTAAGAAACCTCAAGGTACCCCAGGGTGCCTGGGCAACCTGGGTTGAGAAAGATTGGCTTATACTGTAGCTGCCAGACCAAATTATAATAAAGAGAAATTAGAACAACTTAATTAAGTTTTTAAACATTTTAAGTCTATAAATTGAGCTTTTTACACTTTAGTGCTAAAGTGGGTTTAGTGACACTTTAAAAAACTCATACAACATTCAATTTACATGTATTGGGATTTTTTTTTTTCTAGCAAAGACGTAGCAGAATACATTTTAGCCTAAATTTATGACAAAACTTGATTTTTTAAATTTTACAGGACGTTTAATAGCAAAAAGTCAAAAATAGTTATTTTTCCTCAAAATTGTTGGTCTTTTTTTATAGATCAAAAAATAAAAGCACACAGGGGGATCAAATACCACCGAATTAAAGCTCAATTCATGGGGAAAAAAAAAAATTTCATTTGGTTGCAGCGTTGCATGACCCGCTCAATTGTCAGTTAAAGTAACGGCACCGTAACGCAAAAAAATGGCCTGGTCAGGAAGGGGGTAAATCCTCAATAGGGCAAGTGGTTAAACAGAACCAACTCTGCAAGCAGAAGGTGGG